GAAAGCAGCCAAGCACTAGATAATGCTGGACATTACAAAAGAGGGGGTTCCCCACATACAAGAAGTCATGCTATCCTCCTTCTATACATTTCTTAGGTTACAGTAGAGAGCTACCAAACATGAAGACTTACGTTTTAACATATGTTAATAAGCAGTAACATCTCTGGTTCCTTTCTTTCCATAGACACTTGCTGGAATTGTTCTCCGCATCTTCTTCAGTTCTTTATCATTGCAGCCTATTCAGCTGCTAGAGATCTCCTTATCAGACAGTGGCATCACCCATTTTATCCCAAAAATATTTAAAAAAAAAGTTCCAAAGTTGTCTAGCTAAAGAACAATGCATAAACAGATGACTACTGTCCTCTGCCTTCTCACTACACAAAGCATTTACTCTTTTCTGCAAATATATCTGAGTAAGGCATGCATCATCGTCTAGCACCCAACAAAAACAAACTATGTTAGGGGTCTTTTGATCTCCATATCTTTTCTAGAGCCATGAAGGGAATCTGCAAACACCTGTGATTAGCTTCCCATAACACTACTTTGGAATAGTTTCCCCTGCCATGTGCACTCAATAACTGATGTCTTTAGATTACAAAGCTCATTGTTTGGCTGAAGTGCACACCAAGCTCTTCATAATTTTGCACATTTGGTTAGTTGCTAGTTTAATGCTTATGTTTTGCCTATTCAACCTATTATATCTATTTCCTTTCAAATCCCATGGGTTTTAGATGTGCTTATTGGTAAAGGTGTAATTAGCAGTTTAATGTACAATACCGGAGAAAAGAGAACAAAAGCAAAAAAACGAAAGTGACATAATTGGTAGCTTGATGCACAACATGGGAGATAGAATACAAAGCAAAAAGGAGTAGCGGCATGATTGGTAGCTTGATGCACAACACAGTCGATGGAATACAAAGCAAGAAAGAGTAGTGGCATGATTGGCAACTTGATGTACAACAACTGAGAATAGAATACAAAGCAATAGAATTGAGCAGAGACAAGACTACGCTTATGGTATAGATGGAGGAGCTGAAGAGAGATAAAAGATGGGGTAATGAAGAAGAACACAAGCTAGGTAAGGAGAAAGAGAGGTAGGGTGGCTGCCAGATGGCATGGTAATAGGAGGGGGAATAAGAAAAAGAAGAAAAGGAAGAAGGTTGGGAAGGTTCAGATAGGTGTGAGAGAAAGTATTGAGAATAAGTTGAACTAGACTGATAGTATAGAACTTGAGGTGGGGGTGAGGTGACTAAGAAGAGAAGAATCTCTCATATAATTATGTAAACTTAGATCATGGGAATACTTCCATTATCATATTGGTCTTTTTAAAAGTTATTAATCTGTGGTGGTAACGTGTAAAATAATTTCTTGCAGCCGTGCAAAAACTGTGAACGAGAACTTGAAGATGAGTGGTGCTTTGCTTTCACGATTTGATTTGGTGTTCATATTACTTGATAAACCTGATGAAGTGCTGGACAAGCGACTCTCTGAGCACATTATGTCAGTAAGTGTCCTCACTCCTTTCTGCAAATGTTCGTTCAAATTGGAAAATCAATAAACTTAGTAAAAAATATCCAACTGTCAACATTGCTTCTCGAATCCTTGATTACCATATGGAGGACAATTCTTGTTGCAGTAAATAATTCTTTTTTGACACCATCAGATATATGTAATCAATTTCGTTTACATTTTCTGCTTGACCAGTATGAAACACTATCTAAATTCACTCATTCAATGGAGATAGCTCGTTGATGCTATCCCGCTTTATTTGTGGTAAGATTAGGTGATCATTGGAAAAAAAAGATTAGGTGATCATTGACCAACAAAAAGGGAGCCTGTTACTTTCCCTGCTGCTTTTAGCATCATTTGCTTGAGCTTTTTCAAGGAAAAGGTCCTTTTTCTTTCATGCATGTCGACATGCAGCACAACTTGATTGAAATTTATCAGCTGATGCAGTTATATGGTTATCATTTAGAGTTTATTCATGTGAAAAATTGCATGATTTAAAGCTTTTCCTTGTCAGCTTCATGCAAAAAGTGTAGAGCAGCCACCAGTCGCAAAACGGTTATGTACAGGTTTGCCCTTTGCCAACCACTATCTCAGCGGGAAATATTTTTATACAAATTGCTCTTAATTTTTCTTTGCAGCCTCACTGGATGTTAGAGAAATTGACATGAATACAAAGCAGCAGGGTTCTTTAGTTGCAAGGCTGAGACTTGACCCTAAGAAAGACAGTGGTTTTGTTCCATTGCCTGCCCCTCTTCTGCGTAAATACATTGCTTATGCAAGAACTTATATATTTCCTAGGTTGTCACATGTGCTTAGCTTTCTTTTATGTCTGAAAGTTTTAGCTACTCTTTGAAATGTTTATTTATCTTCTTGTCATTTGGTGCAAGGATGACAAAACCAGCAGCCGACATCTTGCAGAAGTTTTACTTGAAGTTGAGGGATCATAATACGTCCGGTGATGGTACACCGATAACAGCAAGGCAATTAGAGAGCTTGGTAAGGTTGGCAGGAGCTCGAGCTAGAGTAGATCTAAGAGAAGAGATAACTGAGCAAGATGCTCTGGTAAATTGATCTAATACAGTCTATAAATAAATAATCTTTCCAAAATCATCAAGATTTGCTATAATCTTAATCATCAAATTGTTCTATTACGATGCCCTCAAATCATGTATTCTCAATTTTCAGGATGTTGTGGAAATAATGAAAGAATCATTATACGATAAGTATGTTGACGAGCATGGATTTGTGGATTTTGGACGGAGTGGGGGAATGAGTCAGCAGAAAGAAGCAAAGCGGTTTTTAAGTGCCTTGCATAAGCAGTCAGAACTGCAGCAAAAGGATTGCTTTTCAATTTCTGTAAGCCATCTTTCTCGCCTTTGTATATTTTATGGCAAAAGTACAAATGCAAGAATGGAAAAAATCCTGATAACAGTATTTATTTTTCAGGAAATATATAGTCTGGCAGATCGGATTGCATTAAGGGTTCCAGATATCGACACATTCGTGGATAATCTTAATAGTGTTGGTTATTTACTAAAGAAGGGTCCCAAGACATATCAGGTATTGTGATGTCTGGCTTTTATATTTACAAGAAACCAAATTGCACTGAGAATCAAGTTTATATGGTTAAGAGTTTCTTTGGCCATACTTTTCCGAAATGTGCACGTTATAATATAGAGTAAAGGGTCAAAACCACACTTAAAAGTATCCAGGTATTTTGAGTTTCATATTTTAACTATCAAGTATGCGAGTTTCCTACCTGAGCTATCACCAAATGTTTATCGAAATACATCTAAACAATCGATTGTTCCTTTTTCCTATATGAACGATGTTGATATTTTAGGAAGGAAAAGTAAACAACTGATAATTGAGGAGTGTTTTGATAAACATTTGGTGATAGTTTAGGTACGAAAAGTAAACACATGATAGTTCGGTAGAAAATTCAAATAACCTGGATACTTTAGGTGTGTTTTTGGCCCTTTACTCTATAATAAAACTTGAAATAACATGTATAATTGGAGTCTCCGTTGAGGTATCAATTTTTCAAATGGAAAATAATCATATGATTTCCCATCACAAATATAATAATACGATGCTCTCTATGTGTGTGTGTGTGGATAAAACCTATTACTGTCTCCGAGATCTATCCCTTACCTCTAATACACACATCAGTTTAAGTCCTCTTAATATGTATCTAATGGAAGTTTTCTTTTGTTCCAGAAATAGTAACATTAAATTTATTTGTTTGTTTCATTCTGTCTAAAATGAAATAAAGACAATGAATGAGTTCATAGAGGAGATGTTTTAAACAGCCAGTTCTTGTTTAGTTCAGGTATAATATTAAAACTTAGCTCTGTTACTTCATTTTATATGCAAAAATTTATAGGAAATACTATTTATTTTAAATATTGTAAAAACAAAACGACAACTATACTTTATTACTATACTCAGAGGACTTAAATTTGTATGCACAATAGAGGTAAGGTGATTATGGTATGTCAATTGATGGGGTTTTATTCAATTAAAAATGATCTATAGATGCTAAATGAGTGATGTGAAATTCGGGAAATCTTAGTAGTTTAGTTGGTTGGCTACTTGAATTTTCAAGTTATTAATGAGAGTTCGATTCTCCACGTAATTCCCTCTCGCAATCCCCCTTCCCTAACTCTATGTAATAAAAATAATCTTTTTTTTTTAAGAAAAAAAAGTCATGTGAAAATCTCTTTATATCAAATTTTGGGTTCCTACCGTAGTGACATCTTGAAACATCTTCATGCAGGTGCTATCTTCATCTTATTCACAAACATCAAGGTCAAGAGGATAGTTGAAAACACCCAAGGCCCCAATTAAATCATGTGTCGTTTTGTTTGTTTTTCAGTTGTGAGTATACACTATTTTGTGGAAAGAAAGTCGTTGCCATTTTGGCTTCTTAATGTATTTGTAATATGTTTTTTATAAAAAAAAATCATGTAAATATTTCTAACTGTGTGAACTTTAGGGTGATTCAGGAGGAGTTATTACATATAGGATATCTCCGAGAAAATATGGGTCCCGAATGGGAGAAGAATAAGGCATACTGTCCTTTGATTAGTTTGTAGTTTTTTCTGGGGGAATTTGCTTATCAACAAAATTCCACTAATCAGTAGGTTCAGTGTTACAATTCTAATTTTTTATTAGTAAAGGGTTGGTTATGTATTCATGTGAACCTAGTAGTTTTTGTCTAGATCCTGCTGCATATATATATAAAGAAATTCATTAAATATTTATAGAAAAAATTGATTGTGAACCCAATTGTTATTGTGATATTAACTTGAGGCCATGACTCAAGCTTCAAATTCTAGATCCGCCTCTGCTTTCTTGGCTCTAGTTCTGGGGAAGAAAGTGAAGCATTATGTAAACCATTTAAACTGACTTGAGTTTCTACCTATGCCAGAAGCTAGACAGGTTGGTTATTTTTTTCTTTAAAGGGTACTCTTGGGAATAGATTCTGTGTGGAGCCTGTGGCTCAGAGGATCAGCGCGTGTGGCTATGAACCACGGTGTCAGGGTTTTCGAATCCCTTGTCACCCACAACCAGCCCAAAAGGAAAGTACTAAGAAAATTATGTCATGATAGTGAACCAAAAGCTATGGAACTTGGGTGTGGGTCTTGACTGGCTTTTCTTTTGATCTTTTTATTTATTATTTATCCCATTCCATAGTATGGCCAGTCGACAGAAGTATTTTTTGTTTTAGGTCCATAACTCTTCCTCAACCAGGCTTTGGCAGACAAGAATGCTAAGTTAAACATGAATCATACTATGCAAAGTTAAAATGGGAAGAAGTATTGAGCATGAATAGGTACTGTAACTGGAACTCTTGTAATTGTATACACCTCATGAACTTTGGTAGCACATAAAAGTATAATTGTTGTTGATCATAGATGGAATACACAGTGTGGTTAAATCAGAACTTCATTACATTGAAGTCCTGCAGTCCAACTAGAATAGAAAGCTGTATCAGATTATTCAAATGTATAACACAACAAACTTTCAAATCTATATATTCAAGTATATAATATCTATGTTTTTATAACCTGATCAATTTCATCTTTAATTACTCAGATCTGTATTCATCTTCAATTACTGAATCAAGGCGCCACTCGCTTCCGTAATAGGAGTTGGGCAATCCCAGCCAGAACTTGAATGCCTCAGCTGCTCGTTTTCGCTCTTTTCTCCTGTCCTGTCTAGCTCTCGATGCGTGCTTGCTGGTAAACATCCTTGAATGCATCTCGACGTAGATCCTAGTAAACTTGGTCTTATTTGGTGGTATCCCATGTTGCTCCATACAAGCAACAATCTCCAAAGCTTTCCTGAAGAAAGCTGCCCGGACACATATATCTGCCAAAGTATCTAACAGTCCTTCATCTGGTTCCAATGGCGGGATACCTGAAGAAGGAGTAGATTCCTCTCCATTTCCCATTCCGCACCTTTGTTTTATCTCATTCCAAAGCAAGAGCGCTTCTCCCGGCTTCCTAGCCAATGCAATTCCATTTGCAAGACTGCCATAAGTAGCTACATTCGGGTAGAATCCGTTTTCTTTCATCCTCTCAATCACACTCTTCGCTTCCTCAACCTTTCCCAGCTTAGAGTATGCATCTACCAACATGTTCCAAGCCACCAAATCGACCTTCACTCGAGGGTCTTTAAGCATCTCGTCAAACACCTTGTTAGCTAGCTTAGCCTGACCAGATGAGGCAAAAGCTTTCATCAAAGTGGTGTAACTTACTTTAGTCGGAGCAATACCTCTAGCTCGCATCTCATTGAAGTAAGAAAGAGCTCCTGCACTGTCATCTACCAATATACATCCATCAATGATCGTGTTATAGGAAACCACATCGGGCTCTATACCAGTATCAATCATCTCCTTAATCAGCTCTTCCGCCCTGTCAATATGCAGCTGCTGGCAATATCCTTTGATTAAAACATTGTAAGTGATTCTATTAGCAGGCACACCAATCCTGACCATCTCGGCCAGCACCTCCCGTGCCCTATCCATTAAACCTTGTTTCACAAAGGCAGAAATAACCGTTGTGTAAGTGACATGGTCAGGGTGACTCTCACTATCTCCTAGATGTCTCATTGCCTCTAACATCCTCACCATATCTGTAACACGGCCTGCATTCATATAACCTTTCATTAAAGTCGTATACATCCTAGAATTCGGTTCAAACACTCGAGACAACTCCAGTGGCTCATTGTCTCTCGAATTAACATAATTCGGAAGCAACTTGGCAAACACATCAGTGGTCTCATTCAAACACAGCTCTACCACATTGGCCTCTCTTAGAATCTTGCAAAGATCCCTCCTCCCTTCCCTCATTGCCTGAACCACTTTTTCAGCAGTTACCAAATCACCAAAACCAACATAAGCAGCAACAAGGGACTGAAATGTTGACATACACAATGGAATTCCCTTCTCAAGTATCCTTTCCAAAACAAAAACAAGCAAATCCTTCCTATCAGCTCTTGCACAGAGCTTAATCATCACATTATAAGTCAAAACATCTGGTACACAATCAAACTCACCCATTTCATCAAACAACTCCAAGAACCTATTTTTATCACCAATATTAGCACAAGCATTCAACACAGCATTATACGCAGCAGTATCCGGCCGGGAATGTTTAACCAAATCAACATCAGAAAACCTACGAAGCCTTTTAGTAACAGCACCAAAAAGCCTCAAAGCCTCCATAGGACCATCATCACCAGAGGAAGCAAGGCGGCTAATGACAGAACTCCAAGCTTTAACATGAGGAAGATAGCCAGATTTCAACATGGACTTAATAATGGAAGAAGCATAAAGAACATGCCCACCTTTAGCTGCAGCACTAGCAAGAAGGCCGAGGGAGTTAGCGTCGAGGCGGTGGAGCTGCCGTTCATTTCGGAGGCGCTGGATGATGGACTGAGCACGGCGGAGGGCGACGGTGGAATTTTGGTAAGATAGCTGAGAAACTAAACGGCTAAGGCAAGTGGGGTTAGGGAGCTGTTGATCAAGATTCTTGGTGTAGTACAACCAAGCTTCATCAGTCTTCCTCTGCTGCAAAAGGGTCAGAAGGGTATTGTCAGGAGTGATGACTCTATAGCTGGCTGGAATCACGAGGGATCGCCTCCTCGTCTATGAGTACCTGCAGGCAAGTAATGCAGCGCCCCACTGGGCGTCAGTACCGCTGGTATTGTCAGGAGGGCCTGAAAATGGGTTCTTGGAGGTGATTAAGGAAGTGGGGCTGGAGTAATTACAAGGGATGAGGTTGAAACAGTTATTATTGGTAGCTTTACAAGTGATGATGGAAGAAGATAAACAGTTAAAGAGAAGATTTTGAGAAAAGGGAAATGGTGAAGAAGATGGTGAATTGGGGGGAGGGGGAGGGTGGGGGTAAGTAGAGTTGTCATGAATTCTGGCACATTTGGGGTGGAAAGAGGGAGAAAGGGGAGGGAGAAGTGTTTCAAATTGGGGGAATGGTGATAAGGTGGTGTTGGAGAAGGGATGAAATATGTAATTGGTTTAGTGAGTGGCTCTTGTACTTTCCCTTTTCTTTCTTGATCTCATTTATTATTATTATTTTGGTTTAAATAATTTCTAGAAGAATGGGATATTTTCATCTCTCTTTTTCTTTTATGGATGTAAGGTGCTATCTACTTGAAAGAACATAGATTAAGACATTTTTTTGGATTATTAAAAATGGACTAATTGAGAGTGTGGTTGACACGTAACTCGTTATAAATAATTAATTTTTTTTTTTAATTCATTTCAAAGTGACATGTTAAATATTATAAGATTAAAAAATATTTAAAACCTATAATATAAAAAAAATAAAAAAAATAAAAAAAATAAAAAAAATAAAAAAAATAAAAAAAATAAAAAAAATAAAAAAAATAAAAAAAATAAAAAATTTAAATATTAAAAATCAAAATAGGGTTGGTGGTGATTGGATGGTGGAATATGTTTATTTTTGGGAGTTAAAAGGGGTTTTTTTGGGTGGAGGGGGATGAACTACGTTGGGGATATTCCTTCCTCTTGTTTGGCAATCATTTATTGGGTGGATCTTTACTTTCCCCTAAAAAATTTCTAGAAGGGGATATATTTATCTTTGTTTGTATTTTTTTTAAAGCGAGGAAGGCAACTACAAAGCAGTAAATAAGAAAGAGATTCAAATAACTTAATTGACTATTTGGACTCTAAAGAAAGGGTTGATGGATGGTGTTTCCACTTGAAGTAGGTCTAACTTAAGACCCTTTTAAGATTGAGTAAATGAGAGTGCAGCTGACATGATAAATAAAATCGAGAAGTAGAATAAGGTTTTTGATAGCACGGAAAAAAGTGAAAAAATGTCCTAACATATTAGAAAGGATCAACAGTAGATTGCAACTAAAGGTTTGAAAAAAGTAATAGTTCCATTCGGTAAAAATGTTTTCGTTGAGAGATGTATTAATGGTTGGGCCACCCTTCTGGCAGAGAAAGAAAGGCAGGTTCAAGGGCGATTGGATCAATTTTTTTATTTCCTTTGTTTATAGAGCAATTGAATGAAGCAGCGTGAGACCTATAAAATTATGAAGCTATTCATTCTCAGTCCTTTTGAATAAAACCTTCAAAATGATGATAGCAGAATAATTTAATCCGATCTGCATGAAGTTGATAGATGAGGAAAACTTCTTTTACTGGACTTGATTCTTGTAAATTGACCAATTACAATATATATCTTGCAATTTCACAATTTTTATAGTGATAGCACGTAAACAAAGATCTTTCGATCCAAAGGAAAAGAAAGACCAACCACATAAAAACAAACAACCAAAAAAAAGGAAAGCGCCAAACTCCGTATGGAAAGTTAGAAGCTGACAATTTGTGAAGTCAAGATCGGCGGGAACATCCTTCTAAGCAAGCTCAAAATGGACATTCCCGACCAATTTTGAGTTTAGGAGTTTGTAAGCTCGAGAAGAGAAAACAAAAGAAAAGAAACAGAACATAATAAACAACATACCCAATATAATCTCAAGGGTGTAAACAAGTCTGGGAGGTTAAAGTGTGACAGCAGACCTTACCCTCCACCTCGGTATGTGAGTATAAACTGTTGGTAATAGACTCTCGGCTCAAGAAAAAAAATAGTCCAAAGAAGTTCAGAAAAAGAAAGAAATATAATAAGCAAGTTAACAGTATTTCACTTTCAACTTTCCATCAAACTGACCTTAAATGAAACATGTGTCCACAATTGTTTCCTGTACATAGCTTATATGTACCAACAACTAACTAAACTAAAGTTTAAAACCCCAAAGAACTTTTCACTGTATAATTCTTCCTTCAAGAACTGGACTATCTACTTAGTATTATTATTATACTAGTAAACCATTGATGTTTACACAACCACCAAGTTTAGTCAGTGCAGCAGCAGTAATCAGCTCTCCTTCAACTCCACAAACCACCCGCTGTCACGATCTTCTAAGTCAATGAATGTACGCTGCCACAACCTACTCTGAACTATAATATTCACAAGGTATGTACCTGATTGACCAATCCAGGGAACCTATGAAAGA